GAGGCGCGAGCCCAGGAAACGCGGAAGGCGCGAGCCCAGGAACGCGCGAGCGACGACCCAGGGATTCCCGGAACGCGCGGCCCGGGGAAACCGTAAGCAGGGCCATCCTAATCCTCCTCCTGTCCTGCTCCTGTCCTCCTCCTCCTCGTCCTCTTCCTCCTCGTCCTCCTGTTCCTCCTCCTCCTCCTCGTCCTCCTCCGCCTCCTCGCCCGCCCGCCCGCCCGCCCGCGGCGACGACCACGACGACGACCGCTAAAACAAGAACGACAACGGCGAAGACCACGACACCACTAAATTCGAAGTCCGACGACGAAACGACGACGACGACGACGACGACGACGACGACGACGACGAGACGGCGACGACGGACTACGGCGACTCCTGCGCCGACTCCGACCCCGACCCCGACCCCGACGGCTCCGACGACGGTGACGACGACGGACGACGACGACCACGACGACGGAGCGACCAAATCTTTTGAACCAACTGTGTCAAAAGATTTGGTCCTTGGTGATGTCTTCGGCGGCGACGACGACGACGGATGACGACGACGACGACGACGACGACGACGACGACGACGGAGCGACCAAATCTTTTGAACCAGCTGTTTCAAAAGATTTGGTCCTTGGTGGTGTTTTCGGCAGCAGCGACGACGACGACAACGACGGCGACGACGACGACGACGACGACGAGACGACGACGACGACAACGGACGACGGACGACTGACGACGACGACGGAGCGACCAAATCTTTTGAACCAGCTGTTTCAAAAGATTTGGTCCTTGGTGATGTCTTGGGCGGCGACGACGACGACGACGGACGACGACGACGACGACGGAGCGACCAAATCTTTTGAGCCAGCTGTTTCAAAAGATCTGGTCCTTGGTGATGTTTTCGGCGTCGACGACGACGACGACGACGACGACGACGACGGCGACGGCGACGACGACGACGACTCCGACGACGACTCCGACGACGACGACGACGGCGACGACGGACTACGGCGACTCCGGCGCCGACTCCGACTCCGACCCCGACCCCGACGGCTCCGACGACGGCGACGACGACGGACGACGACGACCACGACGACGGAGCGACCAAATCTTTTGAACCAACTGTGTCAAAAGATTTGGTCCTTGGTGATGTCTTCGGCGGCGACGACGACGACGGACGACGACGACGACGACGACGACGACGACGACGACGACGATCTTTTGAACCAGCTGTTTCAAAAGATTTGGTCCTTGGTGGTGTTTTCGGCAGCAGCGACGACGACGACAACGACGGCGACGACGACGACGACGACGACGACGACGACGACGACGACGACAACGGACGACGGACGACTGACGACGACGACGGAGCGACCAAATCTTTTGAACCAGCTGTTTCAAAAGATTTGGTCCTTGGTGATGTCTTGGGCGGCGACGGCGACGACGACGGACGACGACGACGACGACGGAGCGACCAAATCTTTTGAGCCAGCTGTTTCAAAAGATCTGGTCCTTGGTGATGTTTTCGGCGTCGACGACGACGACGACGACGACGACGACGGCGACGGCGACGACGACTCCGACGACGACTCCGACGACGACGACGGCGACGACGGACTACGGCGACTCCGGCGCCGACTCCGACTCCGACCCCGCCCCCGACGGCTCCGACGACGGCGGCGACGACGGACGACGACGACCACGACGACGGAGCGACCAAATCTTTTGAACCAACTGTGTCAAAAGATTTGGTCCTTGGTGATTTCTTCGGCGGCGGCGACGACGACGGACGACGACGACGACGACGACGACGACGACGACGGAGCGACCAAATCTTTTGAACCAGCTGTTTCAAAAGATTTGGTCCTTGGTGGTGTTTTCGGCAGCAGCGACGACGACGACAACGACGGCGACGACGACGACGACGACGACGAAGACGACGACGACGACAACAGACGACGGACGACTGACGACGACGACGGAGCGACCAAATCTTTTGAACCAGCTGTTTCAAAAGATTTGGTCCTTGGTGATGTATTGGGCGGCGACGACGACGACGACGGACGACGACGACGACGACGGAGCGACCAAATCTTTTGAGCCAGCTGTTTCAAAAGATCTGGTCCTTGGTGATATTTTCGGCGTCGACGACGACGACGACAATGCTGTGCTGCGATGAATCAGTACATTGCTGTGCTGCGGGAGTCCGGCGTGCAAAACTGCGAATCAGTACGATTGCAGCGGAGAGCATGCCGGCAGCGGCGGCATGGCCCACCCCCCTTCCACCTCCGCCTTCTCCCCCCCCCCCTCCTCCCGAAGGCTCCCCCTCCTCCCGAAGGAGGAGGAGGAGGGGTAGGAGAGGAGGAGGAGTAGGAGGAGAAGGCGTGTCTTCAGCATCTCGACGTGCGTGTCTGGGTTTCCCCTGTTGGCGTGGGTCGGGTGTCTCTGGGTCGTGGCTCTGGGTTCTCGGGTCCGTGTGTGCGTCGTTTCTCGGGTTCGGGTTTTTTTCGGTTCTGGGTTCGCGGTGTGGTTTCCCGGGTTTTGCGCGTTTCCCTGGGTCGAGTTTCTTCCTCCACGAGCCCCCTCAGGCGGGCGTGGGCTGCCCAATGAGGGCCCACGGGAGCCTTGCACGGCCCCGCCTGCGCATCGAAAAGCGCTCGACAGCTAGATGCGGCCGCATCTCGCTTTGCAGACTTCTTGGGGGAACCGTGGGGCCACCGGGGGACGTCCGTGGAGTCCCCGACGACCCCTCCAGCGGCCCCCCGCGCGTCCTTTGAGAGGCCCGTCGGGTCCCCGAGAGAGCCCCAGACGTGTGCGCAGCCATCGTGACCTGGACGTGCCTGCTTGTGACCACGCGTTGAACTAGCTGCCCATGGAAGCCACCGCAGCTTCGGGGGAGCGAGATGAGGCGAGGGAGGAGAGCGCCGACGCCGACGAGGATTGGGCAGGAATGATAAGACCTCGAGCTGTCCCAAACGATGCAGACGGCTGGTTGGAACGGAAGTCTGGCAGATAACTCAGATCAACCGCAACCCGCGGATAATACAACATCTCCCTGTTAACCTTTGTATCTCTTTATCAACGGTTTTGAATGTGGCTCAATTGCCACACCAAGCGGGGAGGACGAGCTTTACGATCCCCTCCCAGATTCCTATCGTAGCCCTGATCCTCATGTCATGGATAGCACCATGACTAGTCCCATCCTAACATCGATATCAATGGGGATACATATATTTTCCCGACTGGATCGCGAGTTTTACTATCCTCAGGGAATTAGTCTCACCAACACAGAGGTATCACATCCAAGCAGAGGGTCTGGCAAACATACAACTAGAACGCTTGTTATCCCAACTGACGGGAGGGCACAAACCATACGGCACCAACCATGGGACACCAGCCAGAGGGCACCGGCCAACGCAACATATACAGACGCACTGCAACACCGAGCATGCGTTCTGATCGGGTCGAGGGCGACGTGGACTTTACAGTAGGAGCTCGACCACAAGGAACCTTCTACAAGAGAACCAACCCTGAGATCTGAGGACGTCAGGACGTCCATTAATTTGTGGTGTGGGAGCGTCGCGCTTTCCATAGCAGGACCATCGAAGCCTAAGAGACCCAGGGTACCCTGGAGACAAGCAGGCAGGGTGGCATCGATCTCTACTCTACTCTCCTTGAACCTCTCCGACCACTCCCTTCTCACACCTGGAAATGTAAGCTCAAGCTCGAGTAGCCAACGTGCAGCGCAAACAAAAACTGCAGCGAAGGAAAACACTGTAACGCAAAACATCATGTGTCCTTGTCGGGACGTGGGCGACGTGGTTTGCACGCCCGTCTTGAACCTCTCCAAGCCACAAACAGAAACATCATCGGCGCTGGAGCCCCCTCCCTGACGTGCTCAGCGCGCATGTGCCACGCCAGAAATGGCGCCGGCGGGGGGGGGGGGGGGCGAACGCAGATGCAAGGAATCCGCTTGCATCCCAGGAGAATGATGTTTATGCAACTGTTTGTTCCTCTGGCTTGGCATGACAGAAAATGATCCCATGGGAAGCGGATCCCGAACCCCACGGCCCTCCGCCAAGACCAATTTGAAGGGGCCCTGGGACACACAAATAAATATACACAAATAAAAGGATTCCTACTATTTTCCCATATTTTCTGGGTTTCTGTATTCCCCCCCACTGCCTATAATTTCCAATATTTTCTGTGGAATCGACGATTAATTGTGTCTGTGTGTTCTTCCTCCTCCTGACAATTCTTCATCCCGAACCGTTTTACCGTTTTTGACGGTCCTGAGGGCCCAGGGATGGCCCCCGAATCCTGGAAACGGCGGAACAACTCAAGACCCGCTGCCCTCAAGATCCTTCTCCTGCACGGAGACATGTGGCCGGAGAAAGGTGGGAGAGTGGCTGGGGTGGGATGGCTATTGCGTGGGACGTACATAGACATACTAGTACTTGACGTTCTCCTTGGAGGCGCGCGTCCGATCCAAACAGATAGTATACCCATCTTGTAATACATCGTTTCCCGAGCGGTGTGGCCAGAAAGCGCCCGCCACGACGCATATACTATAAGATTTCTCGGTGCGCGCGTCGTCCCTGAGGGGGCGACGCACATGTAATAGAAAAATGTTGGGGTGACGCCGATTGTGTTTCAGTATCTCCGGTGACGGTCGTTACCCGTTGAGGGGGGTGGGGGGGTGGGGGGGACGGGAAGGCGTCGGGAGCGTCAAGCCCTCCTCCTGCATACGACGGCTGCAAGCACCGTGGCAGGGTGATGGGAGGGGTTTGGCAACTAGGCGCCAGAGTATCATCTTTCCTTCCCACGAACAGATGCAATGATGATGAAAACTGTCAGCTTCCCCACTGAGGGAGAAGAAACTCCACCGTGCGATGTACAAACCATGGGACAGAAAGAACCGACAACGAAAGAGGGAACGAATACGGAAAAGGAGCACGACGGCGAAGGAAGGAACCAAAGCAACAATGTCGTCATGGAGAAATCGCCTATGCCCCCGTGGATGCACAGGATAGCCTTCTCCACGAGAGCTGCTAGCCGCCGACCCGGGTGGGCCCGGGCGCCGCGCGGGCTGCGGTGCGGCTGGGGGGGGAGGAGCTCTGCACTCCTCCCCCCCTCTCCTGGAACGATAAACTGTTAGCACGGCGTGGCTTCCCCATCCTTGCAGCCTTCGCCCCCTCTCTTTCCGTACCACTTCCAAGCGCACCAGTCCTCTTCCTCGTCCTCCCCCTCCCCCCCGCACCGATCCAGCTGGTCTGGCCCTCCCCTGCTCTGCTCCCCCCCTTACGCTTCCAGTCTCTCGTTCCTTGCCCATCCCGCTGCTACGCCTCGGGCTCTCGCTTCCTGCTCGTCTCTCCTGCTCCTGTTCCTCCTCCATTCCTCCTCCTGCTGATGGAAAAGAACTAAAAAGAAAACTCCTCCCTGCCACGCCACGAGGCCAGTCCGAGGGGCGGGCTGGGCGTTTCGCCAGAGACTTCCTCACCACTGGCGACCCGGAAGCTTAAAATGTCGCAGCAACTGCACGGATGGAGGGCGGGTCGCTTCCAGAATGCGGCTCTCGCCGGAGCGCCGCGCACATTCGCCCTGAAAGCTGAGGGAACTTCACGGACTCAAGGCGGGTGGTTTTCAAACTGTGGCTCTCGCCTCACCGCAGTGCACACTCGTTTGAAACATCTGCAAGGGCTTCACGGATTGAGGGCGGGTGGTTTTTAAACTGTGGCTCTCGCTTCACCGCAGTGTACCTTCGTTTGAAACATCTGCAAGGGCTTCACGGATTGAGGGCGGGTGGTTTTCAAACTGTGGCTCTCGCCTCATCGCAGTGCACCTTCGTTTGAAACATTTGCAAGGGCTTCGCGGATTGAGGGTGGGTGGTTTTCAAACTGTGGCTCTCGCCTCATCGCTCGTTTGAAACATTTGCAAGGGCTTCGCGGATTGAGGGTGGGTGGTTTTCAAACTGTGGCTCTCGCCTCACCGCAGTGCACCTTCGTTTGAAACATCTGCAAGGGCTTCACGGATTGAGGGCGGGTGGTTTTCAAACTGTGGCTCTCGCCTCACCGCAGTGCACCTCCGTTTGAAACATCTGCAAGGGCTTCGCGGATTGAGGTCGGGTGGTTTTCAAACTGTGGCTCTCGCCTCATCGCAGTGCACCTTCGTTTGCAACGTTCAAGGGCTTCACGGATTGAGGTCGGGTGGTTTTCAAACTGTGGCTCTCGCCTCAGCGCCACGACCACTCGTCTTGAACATGTGCAAGCATTTCACAGATCAAGGGCGGTGCCTTTTTCAAAATGTGGTTCTCGCCTCAGCGCCGCGCACACTCGTCCGAAACATTTGCATACATACCGCGGGTTCCCACGGAACAAGTACCAGAAATTGCGAGTTAGAGCGATTTTGGATTGCCAGGGCGTGTTGATTGCGGTGTTGATTTGCGGTGTTGAAAACTTGGGGATGGTGCTCTGGCACGATCCAGGGTCGTCAAGACGCAACAATCAGTTTGATTCGTGGTGTTGAAGTCCCGAGAATGGTGTTCTCACACGATTGAGGATCTTCCAACAATTGTCTCCCAACGGGCCACTTCCCTCAGCGGAAATGAATGTTTGTCGGGGCCTGCGAAGGGAAAGCTTGGAGGGATGGTTTATTCCATCATCTTTGACGAGTCTTGGGTTTACACTGGTCCTCCTCACTCTCCCCCTCCTCCTTTGTACGCAGCTCCCTTCTCTCCGCTTTCCTATCACACGACGGGATCGTTGTGGGAAGGGGTGGGTTGGGTGGGGTAGGATGGCAGACATGGCGCGAGCACGCCTATATAGCGTTGCCCTCCCCCCGTCGCTCGTGCCCCGCCCTGGGAGGCCTTTGCTCCCCGCCCGGGAGCCCGCACGAAGCGGCCCATGGCGCCAGAGCCACACGAGAGCCTCGAGTCCTCCACAGCAGACGCCACACGCAGAGGGCTCGAGCCCCAGGAGCGGGGCGGCGAAGCCTGGGGGGCGCAGCCGAGGGGTGGCCGCCCCCCCCCGCTGAACCTCGGATCGGTGGCCCTGGGCTCCACACACCTCATGCCCCGACAGGCCGCCAGGGTGCCACAGAACGCCGGAGACGTGGGCCGACCAGAAGAGACGCAGGGACCACGATCTGCACACGGCAGGGGCCGGACCACAAGAGACCTGCCACAGGAAGCCTAGCCCCGAGACCCCAGGACGCCCATGGACTTGTGGGGCGTGGGAGCGTCACGCTCTCCGCGGCAAGACCATGGAGACCCAAGTCACCCAGGGCACCCTGGAGGCAGGTGGCCGAAGGAGGAGGGAAAGGAGGGGGAGGAGGGGGAGGAGGGGGAGGGGGAGAAGGGTGAGGGGGAGGAGGAGGAGGAGGAGGAGGAGCAGGAGGAGGAGGAGGAGTTCTTGGCACAAGCGTTCGGAGCTCTGCGCGGATCTCTCGGGTCGGCGCTGGGCCCGCACGCCCCCCCCCCCAGCCAGGAGGGGCGGCGCCCGAGGCGCCGCCAGGGGGATCCAGCGCCGCGCGAAGAAATCAGCGCGGACCTCGAAAACGAAGGGCAGATGTTCCACCACCACTACCAGATGTAGGAGAGGGAGGAGGAGGAGGAGGAGGAGGAGGAGGAGGAAGAGGAGGAGAAGGAGGAGCAGAAGGAGGAGGAGGAGGACCTCCTCATCCTCCCTTCTCCACCGTCCTACATATGGTAGCGGTGGTGGAAAACTTGCCCATCAGAAAAGCTTGTGTTACTGACTACCCGTCGGTCGGAAGAAGTAGGTAGAAGCATGAAGTAGGAAGGTGTCGAGAGTAGATTGGCTTCCATCCGCCCCCTTGGGAGGACGGACAAGGAGAAGCCACTCGATCATTGAAGTTGGAAGGCGCTTAAAGTAGATTGGAACATGGGAATCCAACAATACCTACTTTCAACGACTGATGGGCACTGGTCTTCTGCGAAGGTCGGCCAAAGATGGAAGGCTGAAATGGGCGGGCCGTCTCACAGGACTCGGGTGGCCTCTGGCCTTCTGAGATGCGTTGCAAGCCCTCTTTCCGAAGGCCGCAGAAGGCGCCACAACAAAACCTGCCACAAGAAACCCAACCTTGAGACCCCAGGACGTCCATCGATTTTTGGCGTGGGAACGTCACGATCTCCATCGCAACACCCTCGACACCCAAGAAACCCACGGCACCATGGAGGCAAGCAGGGTGTTTCTTGGCATGGGACTCCACTGTAGTGCTAGGTCGGGCATGTCCTCCTACAGGCGGGCTTAAGAATGAAAAATAGACAACATAGTCAAACGATACCCCAGAGCAGTCAGACATGGTCGGAACATCGTCCCCTGACTCTCTAAACTGCTCTTGGATATCCCTCTGTGGGAAAATCACACTGTGTGTTTTTTGTATGTTTTTGTTCCCCACAGTCTGTGATTGTTTTCCCACTGTTGTGGTGTGTTCCCACAGTGTGTGTGTGTGTGTGTGTGTGTTGTGTTTGTGTGTGTGTGTGCGTGTGTTTTTCCCACGTGTGTGCTTGTGTGTGCTTGTGTTTTTTTTCCCGGGCGGCGCCTCCGGAGCGCGCCAAGGGCAGCGCCGGAGGCGCCGCCCGGGAAGCCCAGCGCGGATCCAAGACATCCGCGCGAAGCGCCAAAAGCTGATGGTCACGGCGCTTTTTCTTCCTCGATCCTCGCTTCCCCCCCGCCTGGGCGCGCCGCCGACCCGTGCTTTCACGGACGGATTGCACACACCCATACCCATTGGGGGGGCCGTTGGGAGGAGGACTGGCCACGGGTATGGGTGCGGGGTGTCGGACCCCGGGGAACGCTCCCGTTCGAGCGGGGACCCCCCTCCGACCACACGCGCCCATCGCCCTCTCCGACCCCCCTGTGGGTCTGGGTGTGTGCTGCTGGCTCGTCACGTCATCCTCTCTCGGGTCGGGCGAAGGGGGGGGATAGCAAAAAGGGGGGTTTGAGAATCAGCTCACGTAGCTGATTCTCCCGGCGCCTCCGGGCGCCGGGAGGCGCCCATGTATCGAGGAACGGGCCCCTCGGTGGGGCCGAAGCCAGCTGCATGCGGCAGATTTCGTACCCCCCCCCTGTCCCAATCCCCCCCTTTCGTCCGGCCCGATGCTGGCTCGTCATCTGCGTGCAATAGTCATATCCACATCCAGTGCGTCTTGGCTTCTTGGGCTCTCTTCCCCAGAAACCGTAGACGCACTGGATATGGATAAAAATCAGGCCCCAAGAGGCTTGGTTTTATCCATATCCAGTGCGCCTCGGCGTTGCGGCACCTCTTCCCGAAAAGTCAACGACGCTCTGGATATGGATACAAGTACTGCCCGTATCATCCTCACCATCGGCTTCGACGGCAAGGTGGCGCGGAGCCCTCGCCATGGGCAGGAACTCGAACACGTCGTTGATCCGCTGCCAGGTGTCCTCGCCGTCCTCGGGTCGCCGCCGCCCGCTCTCTCCGCCGTGCCGGGCGCCCGCTCGCTCGCCCCCCGGCCCCCGGCCTCCTCCTCCTCCTCCTCCTCCTCCTCGGCCTCCTCCTCCTCCTCCTCCTGCTCCTCCTCCTTCTCCCCTCCTCCTCCTCTCCCCCCTCCTCCCCTTGGAGGGGGCACACCAAAAAGGGGGCCCAGGGGCACACGCCTGCAGAGACAGCTGACAACCCTCAGGCGTCCCCATCTGCTGCTCGAGCACGTGTATCACAGATCTATACGTGTGTAGGTTAGTCTGTCTGTCTGTCTGTCTGTCTGTCTGTCTGTCTGTCTGTCTGTCTGTCTGTCTGTCTGTCTGTCTGTCTGTCTGTATGAATGTATGCATGTATGTATGCATGCATGCATGTATGTATGTATGTACGTACGTACGTACGTACGTATGTATGTATGTATGTATGTGTATACATCTATATCTATATATAAACTCCGTTCACAAGCTATGCTCCGACCTTTGCATGGCAATCCGCGTGTCGCTGCGTCTGTTGTCGTCTGTATTTGCGCCGGCGCCCCTCGCCCCCGCCCGCTCCCTGCCCCGGCCCCCATCGCCCCTGAAGGGGCTCTGCCAGGGGGGAGCGGCGAGCCAACGGGGGGATGCGAGAGGGGGCAGGCCTTCTCAGAAGGCTCGGATCATTTTGCTCCCTCGACGAAAGGGGGTCGTAAGCCTTGCAAAGCTGAGGCCTTCCGGGCCTTCGCAGAAGGCTTGGGAGTCCTCAGGCCTTCTGGGCGGTTGCTGAGCCTTCAGGCCTTCTGGACAGAGGAAACGTTTCAGAAGGCGCGAGGGCTTCTCAGAAGCCCCGCCGCCTTCTGAGAAGGCATGCCACCTCTCACTTCCCCCCTCGGCGCGCCGCCGAGGGAGACATCGAGGTTCGAGATTCGAAGTTATCAGACGATTTCGTTGGTCCTCGTCTGATTTCCAGCCTCGGGATGCTCTCCAGCAGCTGCGCCGCGCCGAGAGCTGGGGTGCCCGAACCGTCCCGAACGGCCGCCGGAGCGCCGAGCTATGACCCGAAAGCCATGGGAACCAGCTCCGAGGGGGAAGCATCGGCCTGGAGTCCGCGACACATCGCCGATGGATCGGCGCTGGGCCCCCGCGAGCGCGGCCCACCAGTTCCTGAGCGGGGTGGGCCCACCGTGCCCCGTTGTGTCGGCGATCCATGGGCGAGTGAGGGTCGATGTCCATGCATCCTCCCCTGAGCCAAAAAAAAACCCAAACAGCTGCGCGTGACCCTCGCGTCCCTCCAGGCATCCCCCTCCCCCCCTGCTCCTCAGCACGAGAAGAAGAACAAAGAGCATAGACAGATGCTTTCCCTGGCGCGCGGAGCGCGCCAAGGGAGGGCGGCACCGGGGGCGCAGGGGGGGGTCCAGCGCAGTCCGCGCGGAGCGCCAAACGTTCATGTTTATGCAGTTGTTGCTCGTTCGAATCACCGCCAGAAGCACCCCCCACCCCCACCAGGACAGAGCAAGGCAGGCTTCCCAGCGTGCCCCCTCTGGGTGGGCATCGGTGCCGCCACAGCTCGAGGGTGGCGGCAATCACCCTCGCCTGGGGAGGGGAGGGTGATCGGACAGCGGCGCCAACGTTCGGGTAGGGGATCGACTACAGAATTCATGTATTCCAACATTGATTTTCTTGTCGAGCCCATGGACAGCACGTAGAATGTGACGTAGATCTACGGGCATTCTACGCATTGTTCCTGGATCCGAGACGAGAATTAACTTTGGGGCCCATCGGTTCTATAGTCCACCCCCCAGGGCAGTGGAGCGCTGCCAGGGCTCCGCAGTCCGCTCCCCCTTAGCCCGCTGCCCGATCCCAGGACGAAGAGTTTCGAGTAGAGAATTGACTGCAGAATCGATGCACCCCAACGTGAATTTTCTCCTCGAATCCATGGGCATTCGCGTCACACGTCACACAGATCTGCGGACACTCGACGCACCCCTTCCTGGAACCGACACGAGAACCGATTCTGGGGCATCCATCGAAACTGTGATCGATCCCCTCCTCGAAACGTCTCGTCCTGGAAACGGGCAGCGGGCAAACGGGGGATCGGACAGCGGAGAGTTCTGGCCGTGCTCCGCTTCCTCTCCTGGGGGCTCCCGCGCCCCTGGGGATACCGAGAAGTGCCCCGCCACTCCCCGGACCTCTCCCGGGGTGCGTTCCAACCAGGATCTGGAGGCGAGTCCAGCGGTGGCGACGAAGGCCTCCCAGGAGGCCCAAAACGGGGAGAACGAGGGCAGGGTAGCGGTACGGGTACACCTTCCTCCTCTGATGGAGGCCTCCCGGGTGGGGTCCGAATGGATGAGGTCGGAGGGGGATCTCGCCGCATCACCAATGCATCGCCGATGAATCGGCGATGCATTCGTGATGCACCAGCGATGCATCGTTGACGTCGGCGATGCAGCGGCGACGTCGGCGTGAAGCCAATCGGGCTCCACATCGAGCCGCATCGCCGATGCATCGGCGACGCGTGAGATCCCCCCACCTCGTCTACTCCGACCCCACCCAGGAATCGGGAGCGGCCAAGAGGGGGGTGTCCAAGAGGGGGGGGGTGCAAATCATGACCGGCGACATGTGCGCGGCCCAGCGGGGGGCCTGGGACGTAACGAAGTAAGAAGAGGCGCCATGAAATATGAGCAAAGATCATGGCCCCCGCCATGATATCCACCCCCCCCTAGCCATCACCCCCCCCTTTTCCGCTATCGAACCCAGGAGACCTGGATCCGATCTCTGCCTCCTCTGCCCGGGACTGGGACGTAATGAAATGAGAAGAGGCGCCATGAAATCTGGGGAAACATCATGGCCCGCGCCATGATGTCCACCCCCCCTAATCATCACCCCCCTCTTTTCCGCCCCCGAACCCAGGATCAGGGGGACGTAAGACCTGGGTACAGGGGACTCGGAAATCCCCGACGAGGTCGTCAACAAAAATGACGAGGCCGAGCCTGCTTTCTGACGAGGCCTCCCGCTGCAGACGTCCCACGAAACTCCTCCCCGTCAGAATCCGAGGCGCGGCCGTCAAAACACGATGGCGAACCCGAGTCCTGGCAAACCCGGGTCTTATTGGGCGCCCGAGTTATCCGGGGTAACTCGGGTCCTGGGTAACTCGGGTTTGGATTCCCGAAAAAGGAACCCGAATTAGCCCTGACCCGAGTTACCCCTGATGATTCGGGGCTCTGGACGCCCGAGTTATCTGGGGTATCTCGGGTCCGGGGTAACTCGGGTTTGGATTTCCGAAAAACGAACCCGAGTTATCCCTGATCCGAGTTACCCCTGATGATTCGGGGCTCTGATCTTACGCTCCCCCGACAGGAGACCTGGATCCGATCTCCGCCTCCTCTGCCCGGGGCTCCCACCCCTGCGCCGCGGGCGGCCGCGCCCGCCGGGCGCGCGCGCGCGCCGGCCGCGCTCGGCCGCGGGGCCCGCCGCGCGGCGCTTGCGGCGGCGGCGGCTGGGCGTACTGTCGGGGCGCTGACCTAAGGAACCCTAAATAAGGAACGGGGCCCCTTTTTTCCATACACCCTGCGAAATGCTCACGAGATCATGGGTTCAGAAACTCATAGTCTCAGAATCTGAATAAAAATCCAGAATTTCTATGAGCATCTTGGGATGGACACTGACACATTAAGAATCATCGAGACTCTGGCAGAAAACGTAAGTTTTCTTAAGCATCGCCCTGGGTGTAAGTTTAACTTCGATTTTCCATCGAAAACATAAGGGAACCCTGAGGCAAGCAGCCCCAAGGGGGCCCCTCCCGTAGGGGAGGGGTCGGGACCCTAGGGTCCTCCTGGCGCAGGCGGGGAGCGCCGGGCCCGAGGGGCGAAAAGCCCCCGCACCCCGGGGGACGCCGCCAAAGTGCGGTTTCCTTCCCCCGGGGGGGTCGCCAGGTCCCGTGGCCTCCCCCAGGGCGGTGCTGGTTCCCCCCCAGCACTCGCCGCCCTGGGGCGGGACCGGCGGCTCGTCTCTGTCGTGTCGTTCGTCCGTGTCGTGTCGTTCGTGTCGCGTCGGTCGTTTCGTCCCCCCGTCGTGTCGCGTCGTGTCGTGTCGTGGCGGGCCCCTGGGGTGGGTGGTGGGGTCTGGGGGTGCCTGGCCCCTGCCCGTTCTGTCGGTGGTCGGGCGTTTCCGGCCGGCAAAACGGGGGGGGGAGCTGGCTATCCATTCCCTGCTGCCCGCTTGCGATGGGGGCCCGCCCCGCGCCGTCGGCGACGCAGGTCTCCCGTGGGCCCCCCTCAGCCTCCCCGACTGGGGCCCCACCCTCTGGGAGTCGTTGCCGGTGGTCCTCTCCCCCCACCTCCAAGGTGTGAGCGCGCCGGTGGCGCCCCGGGCGCGGCCCGTGGGGCGCCCGCGCGCGGGCCAACTGTGGCCCGGGCCAACCGTGGCCCCTCGTTCCTGCCCTCACGGGACCGCTGACGAAAAAAAACCCTGAGGCAAGCTGTGAAACAATTCAGGAGCACGGGGCCCCTCCACAACGAAAACGGTTCCTTCTTCAGCGCACCGACTGTACAAGCTGAGCCGGGGCCGACCGTCCCGTCACTCCGCTAGGCCTACCACGATAGGTCCCGCGAACAAAAGACTGTTCCAAGAACGAAAAACACTGCTCCCCAATCAGTGCCTGCGATGGAGGTCCTAGCGGTTATGGAAAAAATGGGCGAAAGTCTTGGGCCGATTTCGGTGGCTTGCTGGGTTCCCAGATTCCCGGTTCCTGGTTACCTGCATGGGTCCTGGTTGCTGGTTCCAGACAGGTTTCGGTGGGAGGCGGAGTTCCAGGGTTTCCGGCTCCCGGTCTCCTTGTCGATCTCCTAATCGATCGGTCTCACCGTCGATCTCATTACCCACCCATCTATCGATCTCACTATCGATCTCACGATCGATCTCAATAACCATACCACAACTTTCAAACCCTCCACTGACTGGGCTTGTTTCTTGGGTGGCATTCTTAGAACATGAAACTGAAG